GATATAATTATTTAGGTTTTTTTTTTTTTATGGGGGGGTTGGGTATATGGATCGGAGCAGGCATCTACTTGGGACCCAGATGCAGCTTGCCAAGGATCTGTGTGGCCTGCTGGCCAGCGGAATCCTGTGCATGAGTGGCCGCCTCATGTATGTTCTTCTCGAGTCCCTCGCGCTTCTGGTCCACATACTGATTGGCCTCGTGCAGCTTCTGGTCCACCGTCTGGCTGGTCTGTTTCATGGCGCCATCGATGGCGCCCTCGGCCTGCTTGAGCTTCTGATCGGCGACAGATTCGGCTGCCTTGACGCTCTTGTTGATCGCCTCATTGGCGGCCTTTTTGGTCTGATCGACGGCAGTGGCAGCGGCACGCTGCGAGGCCTCCGCCACGTTGGCGGCCACCTGCTTGGAGTTTTGCACGGCGGCGGTTGCCTGGCCGACAGTATGGTCCACAGCCTGTTTGGTTTGATTGACAGCGCCGGCGGCACGATTGACGCCCTGATCAATCACCTGGCCAGCCTTCTGGGCCTCGGCAGCGGCCAGAGCGGCAGCGTCCTTGGCTGAAAATGATGGCGCATTAAACGAATGTCCTGCTCCTAAATCTATCAAATTATATTTACCTGTGCTGGCAGCCAGTTGCTCGGCTTCGCTCTTGGTCTGCTGCACGGACTGTCCCACCTTCTTGGCCTGCTCCTCGGCTAGCTTCTGTGCCTCGACAGCCTTGTCGCTGGCCAACTTCTCGGCCTCGTCCTTCTTCTTGCCGAACAAGTTGGCGGTCTTGTCGCCAAAGCTCTTCAGAGAGGCTGTCGAAATAGCAAAACAAGAAAAAATGTTAATAACCAAATATTTAAACTCAACTTTCCTTACTTTTTTGCTGCTGACGGCTGGGATTCATTTTAGCTAAGGCTTTAAAATTCAACTAAATCCTCAACCGGTCACCGATCATAATTTATAGACTAAATTGTAATCAGTTGAGCTTTGCTTATCGATGAAAATTGTGAAAAGTGCTCAGACTTTGCTAATTGCCGAAACATAAACAAAATGCATGACCCGGCGTGAAATTTCATCGAGCATGAACTAATCAGATCGTAATTACATGCCATGCCGGATTTTCACTGTGATTAGATGCCAGGGGTGACAGTTGACACTCGGGCAGCTGCTGCGCAATTCGCGGCGTCTAATTTGGAGGCGACAACAACAAATTTAAAACGCTTCAAATACTACTACAATATAAAACAAAACACGTAAAGGTGATCTAACCTCGAGTGCACGACTAGCATATACCCTATGCATAAATGGCAAGCCATTAAAAACAAATTTGTTGTATATAATTTTTAAATATGGGATTTTGTGGGTGATCAACTTAGTCAACTTAGTCAACTTAGACTTTGGACCAGCTACATACCAAATTTCATAAGTGTAACGCTTTTAAACTCAGAGTTCTTTGAGGTTGGACCTGCATAATTGAATAATTAGGGCACATTCGTACTGCATTTGGCATATATCACAATTAAGAATCTTCATACTAATTTTTAGATACCCAGCTTGTTTAGATGCTGACTTCCCTGAGTTGGGGCAGAATAATTGCAAAATTTAAAATATACTCGGACCCTGTAAATAGATGCTCACCTACGGAATTTCATAGCGCCAGCTCGTGCAGTCTCTGAGTTCGATGAGGTCACGCAAATGAACAGACTTAGAAACTGGACTAAGAAACATGACTATAAAAGCTGATCCTATTGCTGACTAATATAAGTATATATACACACTGCTCTCTCTGATTGTTGCTATTATTTTGCTGCTAGCCATCATGTACAGGGTATACAGAAAATAATAATTATAATTTATAAGAAATTAAGAGCGTCGGCAGCACTGTCCCTGCTGAAAACTGCTCAGCTACTGCATTCCCATAAAATGACGTGTGCGTTCACTCAAATAGAAACATTGTGCCATTAAAAGCCGCAACGGCAATCCGCTCGATCCGGCAATTTTCGAGCTATAGCACTATTCTAAATGGCATACCAAAAGCATGTACTTGTGTGTGTGTGTGTGTTTATATGTTGCCTCTGTGCATATAAAGTAAACAATGCGCAAATATTTGAATAATTTACAGTATGTGATGTCATAATGGCAGCCCATGGTATTTTATTTTAATAGTTTTTCAGCTCTTATTCACGCTTTCTTGTTGTGCGGCTGTGAAAGCAAGTGTTTATATACGAAAACTAATGGCGTTTTCAAATTTAAAACCAACATAAAATAATAATAATACTGCAAACGCTACAAAAACTCAAATGCCTAAGGTTGCTTCCTTTCTTTTTTTGTCTACATAATTTACTTTTGCTAAAATTTTAATTAGCATTTTGATTAGCCCACGCGTCGATGTGTGCGAGAAAACTGGAAGAATTCTTTCGCAACGCAAAAAGTGATAATCGAAACCGGAATGTGTTAACAAATGATAAACGTACATATGTTAGGATAGCTTTGGAGAACAGACAGAGTTGCATTTGTATGGCTATTTCGAAAGATGTTTGCTATAAAACTCGAGACAGAGATGTCAAACAGTTGGGGATGGGCTAGAGAAATAATTAAGGCAGGAACAAAATTTATGACAGTGTTGGAAAGAAAGAAATATAAAAAGTATTGGAAAAGGCAAGAAAAACTTATGCATTATTTCAAATCCATATTGTATAGCTATAAATACATAAGATATTAATATTTCAGTGTAGGTTTTTTTTTAAACTTATCCCCAAGTAAAATATGAAATAAATTAATGCTCAGACAAGAAAAGACTTTTATATATATTCATAGGGAACTTATCTATGTTTTTAATAAGATAAAACTAGGAATAGAAATGAAATATAAATATAATAAAGAAAGTTCTAGCAAGCCCAAAATAAAGCAATTGTATTGTTTGGTAAACATCAAGAAGCTAATCTATATTTGAATTTCAAAACACAAGCCGATTTCACTCACAAATTCAAATTTGTAAATAAACAAAACAAATTTGCATTTAGCATGCACTTAAATAAAAATAGAATAGAAACCATGTGGCGAGCAGCTAGAAAGAAAACTTAGTCCCATTAAAATACCAAATACAATACTCATGCTCAAATATCAGACAGAATCAAGTGCCTTCTTACCATTTGCGTAATAGAACGACGCAGATTGTCAGATATGTATGCTCGCATGCTGTGGTCAATAATAAAACAAAAACGACAACAACAACGACAACAACAGCAAAAACATAAAGAAAAACCGGCTAGAATACCATAACATGGCCATAAAGTAACACAATAAGCCACAGTCCAGAGCAGAGTCGCAACGCTGAGAAACGCCGAGACTCACAGCTGTTGTTGATGTTGTTTTTCTACTACTTCTCACATAGTAGTCCCAGATAATGCGCAGAAGCGCTTAACACAAAAAAAAAAAATAAATAAATATAACAAAACAAAAACAAAACAAAAAAAAAATAAAATAAATAAAACCTGTACTCAAGACCAACTGAACTCAAGCGCAACAAACGGGTACGAGCCACAGATACAGATACATATACATATACAGATACATTTGTATCTATAGCTCCATATGTATGGGTTCTTTGTAGCTCTATGAGTAACCGCCAGTTCGGGTCACAAACTCACGTTCCACACACAGGTTTTCAAGACCCTAAAAACGCCGGTCCCAACACTCATTTGTAACTCATTGCCTATAGCTATGAATCGATGAACCGCTTTTCTGATGCTGCTCTGCTGATGATGATGTCATTGGCAACTAAATGTATCTATAGAGCGGGCACATGGCTGGCACTGAGAATCGTGCTGAGAGAAATTCGCACGCCCAGTAATTTGTTTAGCTTTAAGTTAACTCATTGTCGAAGGTCAATATCAGACTAACAACTTGGCAACGGGCCCAACTCTGTGTGTCCTGTAAAGGGCACAGCTGGAACCGCTGCATGATGTCATATGCGCCCGGAAAGGTAAATCAATAAATGTGTTTACAACTCCGACCAAGGGCAAGGCTTCAAATACACTCGGAATTAATGGGTGTTACTCAATCAAAAAACAAAAAATACTTCTATGTAAGTTAGGAGATCATGTCTTCAGATTGAATATACAGAGGGAAAGGTATTCTAATTCTAGATAGAAGATGTATTAAAAGTTGAGAAAAAAATGGTCGAAGTATTTGATATAAATAAAACTGAATTCTTTTCAATCTTAGCTAAGCCTTAATAGAGTTTGGTATACATGATTTATTGTGTAAATATAATATATATTATAAATAGAGCTAGAAAGTCATTAGAAAGAAGAAGTAAATATTCTGTAAGTGTTGAGCAACACACGATTTTCATTATACAAAATTTAATCAATTTTGTGATTGGTTACAAATGTAGGAAATATTACTGTGTTTCATGCACATTTTCTTGTAATTTCTTCAATGATTCAATATTCTTAAAAACTATTTTCCAAATGTAGAAATATGTTCTCTATAGAAATGATGTTCTCAAAATAAAAAACTATTTATTAAAACTATATAATATTTTTTTTACAAGTGAACAAAGTTTACTTAAATTAAAATAAAAGTATTATTTATATAAAACCTGAAAAACTCTTTTGCTACAATTTACATAAACTAAATAAGATTCGATTTGTAAAAACTACTTTTAAGAAAACCTCTGGAATTCATGTAAATTATGTCTAGAATGAGTTGATAGCCCTATTTTCTTTGGTGTAGCTATTCATGTGTTCAATTAAATGCGTAACCCCAAACCTGACCCACAAACCTAGCCGAGCGATTCCGGGCTGAGTGTCCAAATTGGATGACAGCAGCGTCTCAAGTTTTTCTCGCAAGGTCTTCCGGAATGCCCGCCCAAGTCAAGCTGACGACAGCTAATTGAATTAGTTGACCACTGTCGGGTGGAACTAGTGATAAAGGCATGCGATGATCATTGATTGCGAGCCATGGCAAATGGAATTGGGATTGCACGGTAGGGGAGGATATAAGTACAGGAGGGAACGGCGCTAGAGCACACAATGGTGCATTGGTAAGGAGAGATGAAGCATATCATAATTGCGATCATTGCCGTGCTGAGTGTCCTGCACAGGGATCAGCTGCTGGCCACGGCCAAGGGCTGTCCGCGTCGCTATCTGAGGCGCATCAATGGCAAGTGCTACTATTTCTCAGTGAAAAAGGTAAGCGTATCCTGCCGTGCAGAATCCCCTGCTCATCGTTGCCCTGCTCACTAATCGCAGATGAACTGGTTTGGTGCTCTCAACAATTGCCTGCGCAAGGGCCTCACGCTGGCCGATTTGAGCGATGCACGAGATTTTTATGGCGCCGTCGAGTTTCTCAGCTCCAAGGGCAACACGGAGGACTTTTGGTTTGGCGCCAATGATCTGCAAACGGAGGGACGCTTTCAGTATATCAGCAATGGCCGCCTGGTGCGATACTATAGCAACTATAGCATTGTGGAGCCGGCAGAGCATTCGGAGTGCGATGATTGCCTGGAGGTGCGTATACGCAACAACTTGACTGTTGTTGCCGATGACAATTGCCTGGAACGGCAGTATTTCATCTGCTCGGAGCGGTACTGTGATGTGGCCGTCAGTAAGCCTCGTCATCACAGTCACGAGCATTTGCATCACTTCCATCACGACATCGGCGAGGCTAGCGACGCGGAGGGCGAAATGGAATTAAATAATGCATCGCCAGAGAATATTGAGGAGCAGCAGGCCGATAAAAACGAATCAGAGGAGGCAGCCAATCCGGAAACACCGGTGAATAACGGTGATGAAGGAGAAATGACTACTGAGAGAGGGGAGGACACAACACCAACAGCTGAGGAAGGAGAAACGCCAGCTGCAGGGGGAGACGACGCAGCCCCACCAGCTGAAGGAGGAGAAACGCCAGCTGAAGGAGGAGAAACGCCAGCTGAAGGAGCAGAGGGAGCAGCACCACCAGCTGAAGAAGGAGAAACGCCAGCTGAAGGAGCAGAGGGAGCAGCTCCGCCAGCTGAAGGAGGAGAAGCAGCACCTGCCGAGGGTGCAGCTCCGCCAGCTGAAGGAGGAGAAGCAGCACCTGCCGAGGGTGCAGCTCCGCCTGCTGAAGGAGGAGAAGCAGCACCTGCCGAGGGTGCAGCTCCACCAGCTGAGGGAGGAGAAGCAGCACCCGCCGAGGGTGCAGCTCCACCAGCTGAAGGTGGAGAAGCGCCAGCTGAAGCCGCAGCAGCACCCGCTGAGGGAGGAGAAGCAGCACCTGCCGAGGGTGCATCTCCGCCAGCTGAAGGAGGAGAAGCAACACCTGCCGAGGGTGCAGCTCCGCCAGCTGAGGGAGGAGAAGCAGCACCTGCCGAGGGTGAGGCTCCACCAGCTGAGGGAGGAGAAGCAGCACCTGCCGAGGGTGAAGCTCCACCAGCTGAAGGTGGAGAAGCGCCAGCTGAAGCCGCAGCTCCACCAGCTGAGGGAGGAGAAGCAGCACCTGCCGAGGGTGAGGCTCCACCAGCCAAATAGACAGCATCGGCATAGGAACTGATCAAGTAGACGCATTCGAAAGAAACAAGTTTTACGTGTAAAAAAAATAATAAACCAAATAAATACAATAAGCAAATAAAAATCTGGGAATGGGGCCAAAGGTATTACTGAGATTAACAGTTCCGATTCCGGCACAACTAAGGACTCTTAGTTAAAAACAGTTATCGTCGATACGAAACACAGACTCTGCTAAGACGTAAGCACATGGAATGCTTTCATAGGTATTCCAGACATTTCGAAAGAAATTTCTCAACTCTTAACTTCGTTATGTACAGAGATGCCAAATCAAAGAGGTGGTAATCAGTCAAATAAGTCGAAGATCCCATAGAAAGACAATAAATGTTAACTGCAACAAGACAACGGACTATCTAGAGTAGACTATACCCTATAATATTGTGAAAGGTGACAGCTACATTGAGTTGGCAGACCTTACAATGCACAACATGAAATTCTTCTCAAGTTGCAATAGAAAGACAAAGACTTAGTTTGCAGCAAGTCTCCATTGGAAAATATAATTTTTATTATATATCTAAAAGTCTTAGCTAGAATATTTCGCTTATTATTACAATATATTTATAATAATATAAATATAATATAACAAACTAACGCTCTGGCAGCATAATAGGGCTGCCAGATCATTAAAATTCCCGTTCTAAAATTACTTCCAAGCTGTAGTAAAAGGAATTCGAAACTAAGCTGTAACATGTCCCTGTAGAATCAAAACTTATGTCTGCCAGATCCAAAGGGAGTGCATCTTTGTGAAACGAAGAAACATTTGGAGATCTTAGCTGGATAAAGTCCCTTTAAGAACCCAAATATTGAATAGGCTGGTCAATTCCTAAAATTGTCTGACCTTCGAAGTGCACATCTGTAGGTTTCAGGTAAAACTGTCTACGCTTGAACATTTTATTGGAGTATTATTTTACCGACCCACCAAACCGTTAAGATGCTTGACTTGAGGGCAACTAATTTAAATTAATTGATTTGTTCAACGCTGGGCAATCGAACCACTAAAAAATTGCATATATTTATGTCTAGATAGTATAATGGGCATATGTAATGATGGTTGTCACGCCCCCAAGAGTGTATATATAGAAGAAACTGGCAAATTGTGCACAGTTTGTGCAGCGAGGCGCCTGCAGCCATGAGGTTACTAGAAATTGTGATATTGACCTTTATCATAGTATATCCAGATGATGTGCTCTCAGCGAGGGCTGCCAAAGCTAAGAAGAAACCAGATATTAATGGTCCCTGCGGCAAGCGGTATTTGCGTCAGATTAACGGTAAATGCTATTATTTTGCAGGCAAAAAGGTTTGTACTCGGAAATACTTGAACCCAACGACGGTTCAGTTGAGTTAAATGGTTGAATTGTACATTTCAGATGAACTGGTTCGGGGCACAGAACAATTGTCTGCGCAAGAACCTCAATCTTGCCGATCTGGGCACAAGGGAGGAATACGATGGCATCGTGAATTACCTGAGAGCGCGCGGCAACATGGAGGACTATTGGTTCGGTGGCAATGACCTGCAGACGGAGGGTCGTTTCACCTACATTAGCACTGGTCGACCGGTACGCTATTTCGGTGGTCTCAAAGGCATTGAGGCCACGTTTCGCGCCAATTTGGATGATTGCCTGGAGGTCAGACTGAGGCAGAATTCCACCGGCATTACCGATGACAATTGCCAGGAGAAACAGTATTTTGTATGCCAGAAGAATGCTGTTAAATGTGCTCAGCCAGTGGAAGGTGGAGCAAACGATACGCATCATAGTCACGAGCATTTGCATCACTTCCATCATGATGCAAAAGGCAAGGAAGACAAGGATGGCTCGGAAAATAAAGAAAATGAGCAGAACGATGTGGAAAGCGATTCGCGGCCGGCTGATAATTCGAATTCAACGGAAGTTAAGGAACTACCAACCGAAGCATCGGGTGAAAATACATCAGCAAATGAGGAGACACCCTTGGAAGGGCAGGAAGAGACTCCAATGGCAGAGGACACCTTAAGCTCAACATTTGCTACACCACATGGTGGTGGGGAAGGAGCGTTATCAGCTCCAGAGGAAACAGCATCAGAAAATGGAACGGAAACTCCTGAACCGGATGCAGCTGGAGAGGAAACTCCAGAGCCACCTGCAGAAGGAGCAGAAACTCCAGAACCACCTGCAGAGGGAGCAGAAACTCCAGCGCCACCTGCAGAAGGCGCAGAAGCTGCAGCGCCACCTGCAGAAGGCGCAGAAGCTGCAGCGCCACCTGCAGAAGGCGCAGAAGGCGCAGCGGCGCCTGAAGAAGGCGCAGAAGCTGCAGCGGCGCCTGCAGAAGGCGCAGAAGCTGCAGCACCACCTGCAGAAGGCGCAGAAGCTGCAGCGCCACCTGCAGAAGGCGCAGAAGCTGCAGCGCCACCTGCAGAAGGCGCAGAAGCTGAAGCGGCGCCTGCAGAAGGCGCAGAAGCTGCAGCGGCGCCTGCAGAAGGCGCAGAAGCTGCAGCGGCGCCTGCAGAAGGGGCAGAAGCTGCACCTGTTGAAGGCGCACCTGTTGAAGGCGCAGGAGCAGAGGCAGCACCACCTGGCAGCGGAGAAGCGGCAGCAGCAGAAAATCCACCTGACGATCTAGCAGAGACTCCAGCACCAGACAATCCCGAAAGTCCAGCCGGCCGTGCTCCCAAAACAAAATCTGTAGAACCAATAAAGCCAACTGAAGTTCTAGCAGAGACACCAGGACCAGACAATCCCGCAGTTCCAGCCGGACGTGCACCTGAAACAACAGCTGTAGAAATAATAAAAACAACTACCACGAGCTTAGAAGCGGATGAAGCTCACGGCAAAACTGATTTGACAGCGAAGAACCTGGGTGGAGAGCCAGTTTTGCCAGTGCCAGCGCCTGACGAGACAAAGCCGGCTAATTGATGGCATATCAGCGACACCTGTAATCGGCGCTCAACAAGCACCTGAAATAACCCCAAATCCAAATGCGTTTGTAAAAATCGAATTTCCAATGCACAAATAAAACGCCAGAGATCTCGCCTGGCCTCTATATAAATAAGTCAATTTTATAATGTCCAATTTCTATGGTTAGGGGGATGGGGCGTTGGGTGCTGGAGATGGGGTTCGGGCATAAGGAAATGTTCTGTCTACTGAGCTACTGATAATGTGAATGCATGCTATTTATAGTGTAAAAAAATCGACACTCAGAAAAAGATTAGGGCTTTTGACTCAAAGAGAATATTTTCACAAAAAAAAATTTTATATATGTTGTAAAATATTCTCTTTTTTTTTTAATTCCAATTTATTCGAATAATATTGTTTAATCAATATGAAAACGGTCATCAATTTAAAAGAAAATTATAATCCCAATTTAAATCGAAATTTAATTTGTATTTTGCTTTTTCTATTGTGCACAATTTTTTGTTGAGTGTTACTTTGATAATTGTTTAAATTTCTACTAGATTTGCAAAATATATATAGTTTATTTAGATAGACAACGGATTTTACTTACATTTGGAAGCATCTGTTTGCATTAAGTGGAAACAGAGAATTATAATTAAAGTATATTTCATCATAGTCTAAAGAAATTACTACGAAATACTTTGTGCCAATTGCATCAGTTGTTTTCGATTCATCCCAAAAGCAGGAAAACGAGAAAACTGACAGTGAAGAATTTTTCAGTTAACGGAAATAGAGTCATTTATTTTTGGGGCGGTGTGCGTGCGTGTGTGTGTGTGTACGAGTGTGGGTACATTGTACACACTCTAAAATACATCAACGAACGAATATAAATTTTAAAATTTTTAAACAAAAAGAACAAAAATATTCGCTCAATATGACAAAAAAAAGAAAATAAATATATATATACATATATAATAGTATCAAATATGTATAGATTTTATATATATATTTATGCACACACGCCAATATAATTATACATATATATATAATATATATATGTATCCCATCGTTTTGGGTGTGGGTTGTGCCAGCGAGAAGAACAACTTATAGTTCAGAGACGTGTCTGTATGTATATAGTATATACAGAGGCGAATACTGCGCCATAATTGGCTTACGCTGACGTATCATCATCGTCATCGTCATCATCATCATCATCATTATCATGATCATCAACAAGCTTTATAAGTAATCGTAACTGTAGCAGACAATTAGTTTTGTCTGCTTATTCCGACTACTCAACTCCTTTTTCTCATTTCTCATTTCTCTTTTTTTTTATTTAGCTTGTGACGATGATGTAATTCTATTATAGTCCTGCAATGCGGTCATAGGTTGTACGAACCCAACAGCAAGGTCTCACACTTCATTTATTTTTCTAATTTTTTTTTTTCTATTATTTATTTCGATTTTTGTTGCTGTTCGAAATGTCATGCCACATACCACATGCCACACGCTGCATATTTAATTGGACAATACAATACATGGAAATGTCTCTTAATTTTCTAATTCAAAAACTTTCACAACAGCTTGAACTGCGTTTTGCTTTTTTTGTACTTGTTTTTTACCTGTCAACGAGCTGAACATGTTGAAAAATTTGCTTTTGTTTTGTTTTGTTTTTTACTAGAATTTGGAACTGTTAACGTTCAATTTGCAATTTAAATTTGAATTTGAATTAAGAGTCTGCTTTGGTTTTATTTGTAGTCGGGTAATTTTGTACGTAGCGCGTTTATTTTTAAAACGTTCCGACTGCGTCGACGGCACAAAAACGAATAAAGTCCAAACGAAAGTATCTTGTTGGAAATGTTGTTGTTCGCGATTGTTGTTGTTGTTGTTGTTATTTAGCTACTGATTCTTGTGGAACCTGTTAACTGCACTCATTCCGCTGTGCTACGTTCGCATGTAGATGCTATCAGTGTTGCCACATGCGCTGAATTTGTTGATATATTGTGAACTCGCGATGGCTGTTAAGCTGCTAAGCGCTGCCAGATAAGAATTAACAGAAATGTTATAAAGCAGTTAACAGTTTTCTGTTAGCGAATCTTAAACTTTTAAGTTAGCTCAGGTTTACAGTCTCAACATGCTTAAGAGCAGCTAACATTTTTGTGTTAACAGACTTTCAAATTACTTAAATTAAATATATTACTGTGAACTGTGAACAAAAAGCGTAACGAATACGTTGTATTGCTTAAGTTGTATATTGCTGTAGTATTCGAATTCGGGACGCAGTGTAAGCCACATTCAACATGAAACTGCAGCTCATAAACGGCATTTGCATTTTAGTTTATCTTGTAAATATTTATCAAATCGAAAGCTTAGGCAATTGCTACTATTTTAGTGATGACAGGGTGGGTACACCTTATAAATGATTATAATTTTTATTTCCATGAAAGAATATCAACTTCCAGTTAAGTTGGCCTCACGCATTAAAGGCTTGTCAAAGCCAAAACCTATGCCTGGCCAGCTTCGACAGTGCAGAGGCCTTTTACCATTTGGGAAACCAACCTGATGAACTAAAGCTTGACTATTGGTTTGGCTTAAATGGACGTGAGAAGAATACATTCAAGTACATCGCCACATATGAGTTAATCAAGTACTTGCCACCTAGTACCGAGTTGATGATAAATTCACCCTGCGCCTTCGTAAAACTACTCAACAACAACCAATACACTATCCGGTCGGATGATTGCTTTTTGAGAAAAAAATACGTTTGCTTCGATTCAGCCAGATGTAAGGGCAAAATTGTTAACAAGGATGACGGTTATCTTACGGAAGTTAGTTGTAAAAATTAAACGCAAAATAAATAAATATTGTATATGCCACGGACCCTATCAAATTCATTTTGAACAAAATTTAATTTGATTTGCCGCCGTTTATATAATCTTTTGGTCGTAGTTACTATAAAATAAAACCAAATTTTCTCGGTCGAAACATAACGTACTCCAAACACCATGAAACTACAGCTGTTGGCATTATTATTGTATTTGAGCCATATGTGCGAGGGGCAAACAGCAGGATCCTGTCACTATTTCAGCGAGACAAAGGTATAGCCTAGAGTCCAATCCATTATTTATCTAATTGTGAAATTTTGACCATGCAGATGGATTGGTTTGAAGCATTATTCACATGCCAACGAAAGCAAATGTGTTTGGCAAACATAAAAACACAGCGTACGTTTGAGGAATTTGAAAAGAAACTATTAGGAAATTTTCGGGATGAGTTTTGGTTTGGTCTAAATGGATATGAGAAGTATACATTCAAATATGCTGCAGATGGCGCACCGCTTGGCTATATGCCACCAGAAGCGATGATTCATTTAGATAAGCCCTGTGCTTTCGTCAAACCCCTTGGTAAAACACATTTCACCTTTGAAACGGGCAATTGTGGACGACCCAGACGATTCGTGTGCTCCGCAGCACGCAAATGCAACGGCAAGGATACAAATAGCACATTTTCGCCATCCCTTACGGCCGAACTGCCATGTGAAATCACAAGAGACATCTTAGGAAAGCTTGGTATAAAGCCCACAGGCACAGAGGATTATTGAATAGAAAAAGCTCATCAAAATTTACCTATCATTGAGCTAAGCAAAATGATTACAAACTTTAAATTGCTGTGAAACTTTAAATTCAATTTCACGAACTTGCGAGTTTAAGTCGAAATGCCTTGACTTCATTTTTGTGTTAATGGTGGAAATATATTTTACAGGCGGTAACAAACAAATGGCGACACGTTAAATAACAGAAAAGCGCATAACTATGCGTAAATCGCCTAAGATTGGCATTTTTATTATACCCTTGCAGAGGGTATTATGATTTTGTCGTGAAATGTGTAACGCATAGAAGGAGACATCTCCAGCCCCTTAAAGTATATATATTCTTGATCAGTATCAACAGCCGAGTTGATATAGCCATGTCCGTCTGTCCGTCTGTCTGTTTCTATGCGAACTAGTCTCTCAGTTTTAAAGCTATCTTTATGAAACTTTGCAAAATTCCCTCTTTCTGTTGCACGCAGTTCATATGTCAAAACCAGCTGGATCGGACCACTATATCATATAGCTGCCATAGGAACGATCGGTCGAAAAGTAGGTTCTTGTATGAAAAACATTTTTGTTTATTAAGTTATCTTGACTAAACTCGGTATTTATTAGTTTTACTACGCTCCCCATATATATGCAAAATCCTATTAAGATCGGACAAATATATCATATAGCTGCGATAGGAACGATCGGTCGAAAATTAAGTCTTTGTATGGAAAATTTTTATGTGTTTCAAGATATCTTGACCAAACTCGGAATTTATTAGTTTTACTACGCTCCCCATATATATGCAAAATCCTATTAAGATCGGACAAATATATCATATAGCTGCCATAGGAACGATCGGTCGAAAATTATGCTGTTGTATGGAATTTTTTTTGTTTTTCAAGATATCTTGACCAAGCCGGCATTTATTAGTTTTACTATGCTCCCTCCACTTATGCAAAATCTTATTCACATCGGGCTACTATATCATATAGCTGCCATAGGAACGATCGGTCGAAAATTAAGTTATTGTATGGAAACCTGTTTTGTTTTTCAAGATATCTTAATCATACTAACTATTTTCCCTGTGCTTCTTAGATACGGGCAAAGCACTATGAGCATTTTGAAAAGGTTGGGTCTGCAAGGGTATTAAATCTTCGGCGTGCCGAAGATGTCACTTCTTTCTCGATATTTAATGAAAATGAACTTTCAAATTAAGCTTATTTACGTAAGCTGCTAACTTGCAGGCTTAGATACGTTTTTCACAAAGGCGACAAACAAAATACATATGCACAGTTTAGCACCCACGAATCATGTAAACAAATCTCTGCTAACTTAAAAAGCTTTGGCGTTGCCAGATGTTTAAGAAAATTTTAGTGCAGACCATTAGCACTCTTCCGTTTAGCAAATCTTCAATTAAAATAATCCAATTGCGTCTACTGAAGAGTTAGCAAGTTAGTCGGCAGCTATCGTAATAATTATAATTATTTGTTAAGGGGCTTCTTTTTCCTTAATAATTGACTCGAGCTTTTGTTTATATGTTTATTATTTATGTAAGTTATTCCTAACTACTTAACACAATAATCTTTGCGCTGTTGTCGAATGACCGCATTTAATTTGAGGCACTGTTGCCGCAGCTGATCATTGTCACCCTTGAGCACCTCAATGGTCTCCTCCTGACGCTGTATGGTCTGATGCACCCTATTAGTAAAAGTATATATGTATAAGGTTAGTTGTAGAACGATCTGATGATATACATATATTATATTATTTACCGTTTCTGCAGTTGATCCATTTCCTGTTTGTGGCGTTCATTGAGCACGCCCAGCTCACTTTGTATATCCGCATTGAGATTATCGCGCAGCTTGTCGCGCTCGTTGATGAAGTCGCCGCACATCTTTTTGCTATGGCTGAGCTCCAGCTGCAGCTGCTTGACCTCCGCCTGGCAGTTGCGCACCTGGGCGTCCGCCTCGGCCAGTTTGCCGCGTGTCTCTGCATACTTTTCTCGCAGCGACTTTTCCACATTTTCCGCCAGTTGCAAATCCTTCTCGTACTTTTCCTTGAGACGCCTAGAGATTGTGGTTGCATTCAGCAAAAGCATATCTCCAAGCTCTTAACTTTATACTTACTGCAACTTCTGCTCGTGCTCTTCGCCGCTTTGCAGGGCATCCGCTTCCATGCGCACCACCAGCTCGTCCAGCTGGCGATCTCGCTCGGCTCTATAGTGCTGTCTTATGGCATTCTCCTTTTCCGACTGCGCCAGCTTGCACTTGTTCTCGTATTCCGTTTTCCAGAGCTCAAAGTCCGCCAGATATTGCTGTTCCACGGTGTTGATGCGGTTCTGATATTTCTCCTCCTGCTTGGCCATCTTCTCCTGCATTTCAAACTTTGCCTGCTCAAGTTCGCTCTCCTGTTCCCGCTGCACCTCCTGTCGCTTGGCCAGATAGTCCAACTCCTTTTGCCGCAGTTCCGCCTGCAGACGTTCACGTTCTGCGGCAAAATCATCGGCGAGCTTCTGCCGCAGCTCCGCCTGCGTTTTCTGCTCCTCCTCCAGCTGACGCTCGAGACGCTCACGGATGGCGGTGCGTTCCTTTTCAATAATGCTCTCACGATCCTGTGCACAACTCTCGCGTATGCTGTGCTCGATTTGCTCGTGCTTGAGACGTGCCTCCTCTAGGGCGTCCAACAGTTGCATTTGATGCGCACGCTTCAGTTCGGTCACCTCGCGCTGATGATCACAGTTCATTTTGTTGATCTCCGCCTCAAGACCTTTCACTGTGAGCTCCTGTTTTCGGAGAAAGTAGCAAATAGAAAAATGTGGGAGTAACTTTTTATTTCGCATTTCTTCAAGTGGACCTTAACCCACTAAGGGGATAAGGAAATGTCAGCAAGTCTGTGAGTCCCATCTTTTTCCTCTTTACTGTGAACTAAACCTTGAAACGAACCTTAGTCCACATAGCAAACCATATGGAGAGGCTCTGGTTTGAAGAACCGATTCCATAGATAGGAATCTTCCATAGAGGCATTTTATTCCTAACCTTAAACCGAACTTTAGGTAGGTTCATAGTTATGACAAACTTGGTTCACATACTAAACCCTACGAAGAGGATTCGGTTCGAACCAGGAATAATTTTGTTTTTGGATTTACAGCCAAAGATAGGCATCTTCCATATATGCATTTTCCTTCTAACCTTGAACCGAGCCTTAGGTAGATGCGTGGAGGCAGAAAACCAGATTTTGAAATCGAGCCTATAGAATAGGAATCTGATCGTACCACGAACACTTTATTCTTTGGGCTTGCAGCTTATCAGTTAGTCCATAGATAGGCTTCTTCCAGATAGGCATTTTCCTACCCAGCACCCACCTTAATCTTTTTGGTATTCTCGCGCACCCAACGCTCCCGGCGTATTTTCTCGCCCGCCAATGTTGTCTCCTTAACGCGTGTCAATTCCGTTTCCAGTCGGTGCTCCCAGGCCTGATTCTGGCTCTCCAGGCGACGCGTCAATGCGGCCACCTTCTCGCAAAGCGAACCCTTATCCTTGAGCAGCTGCTCGATGAAGCCTTGATGACGCGTCACAACCTCTTCGTAGTGCTTCTTTTGTTCACGTATTTTCGCAGCACTGTTGGACTTCTCGGCGCGCAGCGCTTTCTGTTTCTCGCTGCGCAGCTGGAGCACATGCTCCTTGGACAGATGAATGGCATTGGCCAGCTCGTTGGCCCGTAGGCTGAGCGCAATAACGCGACGCGCCAACTGATGATTGGGAATCATCAGCAGCTCCGAGAGCCTGAAAAAAATAGTTAACCCCATAGTAGATACGAGTCTTTAACCATATGGAAATGCAACTCACTTGGGCACCTCATCGGTCACATCGGGCTCCACGACAAACTCCACTTCGGAGCGATTACTGTCCGGCATGGAGCGACGGGTTTCCATCAGCGTTTTGTCACAGCTGCTCTCCACATTATTGAGATAGGCCAAAATGTCTCTGGAAGGCATATGAGGTGTATTTTAGTTTTACTATAAATATGCTGACCATGAAATGGGGAAGAGACAAGAGAGCTACAAGTCTTTAGATTGATGATAAGATGAATTTTGATCAGATCTCAGATCCCATTGGAGCTTAAACTCAAATTGAATAGGGACGTTCTCTATAGGATACAAGTAATATTTCACGATTTGAATAACTCCCGCCCAAACTTTTGATATATATAGTATGTATCAAAGGAAGCTAGGATGTTTGTAACGACAGATCGATACTGAATACAGGGTATCTTCTAGTGTGGCGCTCACTCACTTGTATTTGTCGCCACTTTCGGGCATTTTGTCTCCATTTTGACTAACCGTTTCGGCTGTGTCTGCGCGTGAATCCAGTTTTAGGTTCAACTCGCTGGGCAAACGTTCCGCAAAGTTGTCTGAAAAATGTTTATCTATAGATAATATAGTAGATGAATTGGGGGCAACAATGCTGCAAGATCACCTCGCTTCTTGTCCTCCTCAATCTCCTTGATGACGGACACAATCTCGTCGTAGGTGGAGCCTCTGGAATCGTCATTCGATTTGAGCGACAACTGTGAGGCGCTATCATTGTCATTGTCATTGGCCTCGTCCAGCTCATCCAGGCCCTGTTTATGCAGTTCCTCAAACTGTGCTAGCGCCTGCTTCTGCTCCTGCATGCTCATCCAGCTGTCGACCTTGTCCAAATTGTATTCACTCAGCTTTCGCTCCTCACGCAGGCTGCCCACGCTGACGGCTTTCTTCAGCTTGCCGCCGGTGGACAGGCTGATTGTTGTGCTCTTGGCTAGAAATTTGGATTTGTTGTTGTTGTGGTTGTTTCTGGTGCTCGACTCCGCACTGGCGGGCTTCACGTTCTCCTTTTTCTTGCCCACAAATGGAGGCGTGGCAGCGATTTTTAAATAATTACTAATCACGGAATCGCTGCTGTTGCCCAAATGCCGCCGATCCTCCTGGACAATGGGCAGAAAATTGTTCTCAGCACCGAAATTGCGCTGTCCGGCTGGGCGATATGAGGCGCCACTGCTAACTTGACCGTGGTTGTTGTTGTTGTTGCTGCCATTAGCTGCGCTGAGATTCTTCTCGGAGAGATTGTTCTGCTTGTCCTTGGCCTGCGCCGCATACTTGTCCATATAATTGGGCAGCTCCATGTTATTCAAGGGCTCCAGCGGCTTGGGGCTTTTGTCCAGCGACACGCCCACCGCTTGCTTGTACTCCCTGATGACATTTAGCTCTGGCGTGGCTGACTTGGGAATAGGCAGTGGCGGTGGCAGCGACAGCGGCAGCTGGCTCTTAGGCTCCGCATAGCGACAGCTGGGCGCATCGCAGGCGCATTTGACATCCGCGGCAGCCTCGTTGGTGCTGGCCGTGGAGGAGGAACGCGTGCTGCAGGTGCAGTTCTCCGATGGGCACTTGGGATACTCGTAGGTCTCGGCCAGCACCTCGGCGCTGCCGCTGCCCGAAGCCGGCGCGCCAAAGTGCACGGACTTCTTCTGGCCGCTGGCATCGCTGGGCTCCAGCTTGTTGCCACTGTTGTTGTTGTTGCTGTTGTTGTTGCTGCTGTGGTTATTGTTGTTGTAGTTGAAGCTGGGCAGTGTGAGGGGACCTGGCGCCGAGATGCTACCGCTGCTGCCGGCGCGCATGAGCATCTCCTGCTTATCGTTGTCACAATCACTGGAGTCCACATCGTTCTGCTGGCTGTTGGGCTTGCTGAAGGATACGCGACCCGGCAGATCCGGCTTGGCAGTCTTCTGCAGGAGCGCAGCATTACTCAGTCCCTGGCCGGTTGACCAGTTGGAAGCATAGGATTTGACCTTCTCAGCGCCCGGCATGCTGACCAGAAAACGTTCCAGCTGCTCGCCCTCGCTGCTGTGCGGAGATTTCTGCGAGAAATCCGATTGATCGTCGGTGGAAGAGTTGCAGGCGCTACGGCACAACCAGCTGCGCTTGATTGGCTCCTCCAGCAGCGATTTTAGAAGATCCGTGGAAGAGACTTGACGCTGTAAATAGACAGTTGAGTACTCGCAAATGGCATTATTTTGTCCATTTATAATGGGATGTGCTTAAAATTGAACTTAATTTATTCTTGAAATAATATAAAAAATAACCACAAGAATATGCGTAATTAAAATTCTTATAAATGGAAGTTGAACATTTATAGTTTGAGTACTGTATTTAAATCTTGTACTAATAATTTTAGATATAGCTTTGATTAGAGATAACAGAACTTATTACAAGAATTTCCATACTTGAAATAAGCATACAACATTCTTAATGGAAGTTAAAAATGTATTGTTAGGTAGTCAAATTAATAAGGAAAATTTTAATTAGGAATTTCAACAAATCATGGGTTAAGACCAAGAAAACTTATTAAAAAAATTTTTTTACTTAAAATAAGCTTAAGACCAGCTCGTTGATAGTTAAAATATTCGAAATTTAAGTATCGTAATAAACTCTTCTATTCAGAAATTTATACATAGCATGAAGAACAAACGAACTTATTAAAAGATTTTGCTTGCTTGAAATAAGCGTAAAACTTTCACGATCAAAGTTAAAAATTTTTAGTTTAAATCAAGAACCTGGGTCTTGTAGGAATTTGGAAATAGAAAGATTTAAGAACAAAGGAACCTATTGCAAGAATATGCAAACTTAAAATAATACTCTTTAAATTATATTTACTGTATTGCAATCTTATATTTAGCTATTTTTTCATTAAGAAAAAGTGCTTGGAATAAGAATCTCGTTCTGATTATAAATAAATTTAAACTTGTCTGGATTTAAAGTATATTTGGGTACATAATGCTTGTTTACTTTTCTCCGAGTGTACATGCACTTGACCTTGCGCCTGTTGTCACTTTCTACTCACGTGTTTGCTATGTCGCAGCTCCTTTTCGCCAAAGTAAACGCTCAGCTTGCGTCCAAATTTCGGATCCGCCGACTGTGGCCGCCCCAGGAAGGGCGAGGAGCGACTGCGCTGCTGCAGAAAGTTGGCGGAACGTGGACGAAAATGTGGCGCAGAATTGTGGAGAGTCGTGAGAGAGCGACTATTGTATTTGGGCTTCGATTTTTGTCTTGCGGCGAGGTTAATCTGCGGTGTCCAGCAAAATGGGGGTTGGGTAGCACATAAATAGCTGGCACAGCAAGAATCATTGTGCACCTACCTGTGAGCCCCTAAGACATAAATCCATAATAGCACCCAAATTTAGCACACGGCGCACCTAAAACACACGCTTTTCACTTTTCATTTAGACAGGGTCTCCTTTCTCTCTGGCTTTTAGCCGCACTGACGGCTGCGCCACAGCCAACTGATTTTGCTGGAAACTTGTTTGGCCCATGGTCGCTTTTGTTTTGGCCAAAACATATAGAAAAAACAAGAAAAAAAAACAAAAAACAGCCCCTGGCTATAATATCGATTAAACGCAGTCCAGGACATGTGCCCAGCAGATGTTGGTCAGCAATACAACCCCCAAAGCGACCTGGACATGGTTACCATGGGCAAGCGTCACGCTCGCCGCGCACCCGACTCATGAGTTGAAAACTTGGCCTCACAGGTGTTTTCTTCAATTTCCAATATCCAACCGAACTTACACAAATTTTTCTGCTTGAAAAAGTTATAAATAATAAATATTGCTAATCAAAAATTGAAATGCCACACCTGCTCAATCAATCAATCACTTGCAGAGCATGCTAACAAGTCGATTCAATTAAAAAAATTCATCATCAAAAATACAACAATTATCATTATTAAAACTGAACCCAAGGACAGCAACGCGCTGGCACACAAAGGTCAAAGTGCAGCGTAAAAATATCTCTTTTCATTAATTCATGACTTCATTGATCGTTCAAATTTGAATCGCCTTCCATTTTCAATGTTAACTGTGAATGAAATGCTATTCACAATTGAATATTATTTATACAACTGTGAGGCAAATAAAAGTAACAGTGTTCAATTCTAGACAGACTTGACATATGTAAGATACATTCAAATTATTTTATGCCTTTGCCTTAATTGTCCATTTGCTGAAGCATGGCCTCTTAATATATCCTACCTGTTAACTATATTGTCTAATATCCATAAGAATCATAACTAATTTATCTGCCTTTTCGAAATTTGAAACACCTTCATTAAACATTAGATATAATGGCAAAACATTTCTTGGGAGTAACGATTTTTTCTTATATACTTAAATGTACAACCTTTTTTAGTTTTCTAGTATATACAAAAAATTATTTTCTTCTTCAAGAACATTTTTTTAAATATACCTAAAGAAATTTTTTGGGTTTTTATATATCTTTATATAAAATGTTTCTTGTTCAAGAAAATTTTTTGGATATATGTATATATACAGTTTTTTGATATACTTTAAGATTTTTTTTTTGTTTTACAAATAAGTATATCTCTCTTGATCAATTTTGTGTACAAACATTTAAATACAAATGGATATCTTTAATAAAAACAAAATGTAAATGCATAAACATGAGTGACACCCAAGGCTTCCTCGTATATTTTAAATTAATTGATTTTATTTAAAAAAAATTAATTTAAATGAGTTTATTTAAAAAACTGCAAATATTTAAAAAAAATTTTAACTATTTAATTTAAATAGTTGCAAATATTTCTAAAATTTAAAGGCATTCATTTAAAATTGTTCAATAATTTTTTAAACTTAAATTGAAAATTTGCAAATATTTTTAAAAAATGCCCAATATTATATATAGCATTATATAAAATCTGAAAAAAAATAACAAGCAAACAAGTGGGTCATTTGTGACAACCCAGTTTTTCCAGCTAATTAGTAATATGAACAACTGGTTTTATAATAATAATTTATTTAAAGCAAATTGTTTGAAGTAAACATAGTTAAGTGTAGCTGGTGGCCAAGCATAAGCGGGGTATCGCACGATAGCTAAACCCTAGCATGGCGACCGCCTCAACAGTTGGCGCTTAGTGTATGTGTGTTGTGTGTGTGTGTGTGTGTGTGTGTGTGTGTGTGTTCGTGTGTGTGTGTGTGTGTTACACGGATACTGACTGATGCGCAAAGCATAAAATTAAATTTGGCAACATTTCTCATAATGAACTTATTGGCTAACACAAAATACACAATAGATAGTTCAATATATTTTTTTTTTGATTAATAACAAATTGCACTAAAAGACGAAGACCCTTCACTCGCACCACTCGGGATTGGTGGTACTGGGGGGGAGGGGTCAGCTACTGGCGCCTACTCCGCACGCAGCACGGACGTCACCTGAACCTCGTTCTGTGCATCGTTTTGTATATCAAACTTCAGTTTAGTCAACTCCTGCAGCTCTGCATCGGCAGACGACGCAGCTGTCTCCGTGGTCACCTTGACCGTATCGGGATAGTTATTCTCACCGCTGCCCAGCTCCTGGGAAAAGCTAACCACCGTCTTGGGCTCATAGTTGACGCCGAGCGCACCGCTGGGATCGGGCGTGGCTAGGCTGGGCACATCGCTGGCATGGCCATTGGTATGGGATATGGTAATAGCCTCATCGTGGCCATTGGTGGCGACGGGGGCGACGGCGACGGCGTCTCCATTCTGTGCGCTCACAGCGGGCGCCGGCGTAATCACCTCCACCTGTGCCTCAACGGCAGCGGGTGCACTCTCAATGGCAGCGGCAGCTGCAGCGACAGCAACCTCGACCTCGGCCTTGGCCACTTGCTCGACTTCCGTTTTGCAGTCATCATCCTCGCCAGCCACCGCTTTGTTGACCTCCTCAATGGCCTTGGCCACCTCCTCGGGCGCCACATCCTCATATTGCGCATGGCCATTGCTAAGCGGCTGCACCTCCAACTGCTGCTGAGGCTCCACGTTGTGGCCGTTGGTCAACAGTGCAGGTGGCTCCGCCTGCGTCTCCAGCTGCTCGCTGTGTCCATTTACAACTGGCGCCGCCTGCACCAATGGTTGCTGCTCCTCCTGCTGCTGCTGCTGCTGCTGCGTCTGCTCCTCCTCAATCCTTGCCGGCAGCGGCATTTCCAGAGCTGGCACTATGGCCGGACTGGCCATGGTCTCCACGAAGGAGGTGCGATTGGGCGAGTCCGGCGAGATCATAACATGGGTAAAGTAACCACTGCGACGATGCTCAAAGTCCAGCACATTCTCCTTGGCCAGACGCTCCTGAATGCGTCGCTGCCGGCGTATAAACTCCGGCACATTCTCATCCTCGGCAGCTGCGGGCGCTTCCACAGCATCCGCTAGTTTGGGTCGACGCAGCACCACCTTGGCGGCTTCATTCTGCTCGGAGCTGCCGTTGCCATTGCCATTGCCATTGCTGTTGGTCGCCCAGCTGGCGGCTGCAGTGGATGGCTTAAAGACGCCATTGAACTTGGTGCCGACCACAAATTTGTTGCTGTTGGTGCTGTTGTTGTTGGCGCTCTTGTAGGGATTGTAATTGTTGTTGGCATTCGGTTGCGGCGACAACGGATTACCATTGTCTTCCACTTTGGGCGAACGCGCTATGGTAAAGTTCGGCTTGCCATGGCTGATCAGCAGCTTGGTGGCCGGCGAGGGGCTCTTGTCGCTGAGGGGCGACGGCAGGCCGCTGCGAATTTGTATGCTCGGCTTGTTGATGGTATCGGCCATGTTGCAACTGTGTGTGTGTGTGTGTGTGTTGCGAATGTGTCTGTGAGAGTGTAACTCGTCGCGGGTCTCGTGTGGATCTGATACGCGCTTTTACTTTCCGTCTGCTAACGGTGCTTTGCCTGTGTTAAGCTGTAAAAGATGTTAACAAAAAAAAATATAAAATAAATAAATAAATAAATGAATTTAGAGATGAAAAAAAATCACAAAAATTTAGTCAAATGCAAATTTAAATTTTTTCATAATCATGCTCAATTTGTGGTGAAAAGCACATAAATTTTGGTAAGATGCATAAATAAATGTTGGCTTTGAAATCAAATTTGCCACAAAATGGCAAATAATTATAGCTTTTAATTTAAATGATGTATTTTAATTTTATTGACAGCACCTTAAGAATGCTCCGGCTGCTTTCTATAAACTATTCACTTTTATGGCTGCTCAGTCGCGTTTTAAGCTTTTTTATTATCTCCCTGGGTATATTTTAAAGTGATTCATGCCTGAGAAAAAAATGTGATTAGCTGCATTTCGAGTGCTCCGAAAACAGAATCAATTACTCATCATTTGTTTATTGCCGGACTTTCCGTTTAAAACAATTGTTTATTTCTTTTATTATCTAATTTAATGTGACGCTTGACGCGCGGGAGTCGCCACTTGACAAATTCTCAATATACATATTTATAATCCCAGGCATTTATCAAGTCATAAATAAGCCAATTAAAGCTTCCCATAGCAGTGGCTAATTCATAACTTATTTTTTAAACTCTTTAAAATTGTTAAATGCGCCCAAAGTCCACACTGGGCCATATGGAAACTGCTTAGGAACACTTCAACCCAGAAACTTAGCTGATAAGCACCGTAAAGTTGTTGTACATTTTGCGAGAAATATATATAAAGTTGTACGCTTATCATTGTTTTGTTATAAAATGTGCATATTGTACTCAAAGTTCTGTCTATAAAGTCATAAAGACATTTGCGGGTCTTAGAAACGCTTCGAAATATCTTTAAACAAGATTTCGGCTTATAGAAAGTTTTTGACTAATTTGCTAAAAATATGTGTGTGGGCTTTTTGAATGATATAAATATGTATATATATTTATATATCTACATATCCATGTCATGGCTGCAATCCGTTTTTTAATTAAAGCGGTTCGGGAACGAACTTCCAATTTATTTTCTGCTATGAACTGAACTTAAAAGCAAGACAAGTTTCCCGAAAACAGTCGAACCGAAATCAGAACAAATTCTTTCATTCGATTTACAGTAGATTCAGGGCCGAAGCATTGCATTAATCTATACCTTATTAACGAGAAATATGCAAATAAGTTTGGTAGCATACTTTCGATAGAATGGGAAGTTAATCAATAATAAATAAAAAAAGGAAAAAGTTCCCCAGTCGGGAGAGCCCGACTAGGGGCTTCCCCAAAACTTCTGGTTGGCGGTATCTATAAAATGAAAGATACTTTATCTGTATATGCTAATCTTGAAGCTTATTGTCAAATTTGGTGACTATAGCTCTTAGAACGTAAGAGATTTGCTCAAAAATAGGAATCTCTTTATAGATTTTTATCGATTGTTTGGAAACGGGAAAAGTTATCGATTATTGGACACAAACTCGAACTGCGCGGGCCCTAGGAGGACCCACATTCAACATTGGAAGTCTAGCTCTAAAAGGTTCTGAGATCCTTGCGTATATAGGGG